ACCATGAGAAAATCAACTCATGGGTTTCCTTTTCTCTCCTATATGAGTATGGGGCTCCGCTTGGCGGCCCTTCGGGCCGCCGGAGCTCCGCTATTAAGAAGAAATAATTTTGGAATCAACTGAGGACAAATTGAGAGGGCATGATAATTTCTTGTTTCAAAGAGAAATTTTTTTCACCTGATATCGGAGATAAGGCTACACGTAGAAGATAAGCTTTTACTAGGTCGATTTGATTCAGTTTACAAAAATTGCAGGTTCTGAGATGCTATGGAAATCACGTTTGGGATTTGATATGTACCAGTTTCAATTCTGAGACAGTGGTCTTCAATCTCATTTTATACCAGCAGCAATCCTCGCAAGGGAAAAGCTGCCGGGCTGGCCGTGCAAAAAAATAAGACAAGATACCTCAACTACCCTCAGTCCAAAATAGGTATCGCCTTTTTAAAAAAGTAAAATTTATTGAAATACACACTAAATAGCACTTGCAAAACTTAGTACTTATACAAAATTGACAATTACCGATACACACTTTATTGATAGTTACTAAATTGTTTTGCTTGTCAAAACATCTACATAGTAGTTGTTAAAAACGGTTTTTCTAATTTGACACGAATTTCTACACCTAACTAAATAACTAACTGACTTGGATTTAAGAATTTTGAAAATACACAGCTATACACAAGCAAACCTGATAAATTATTAGCTTCATTAGATAGCTCCAGAAAAAAAAGGTTTTGCTGTAGCCTCAGGTTAGTATATCGTTATCTCGCAAACGAAAACAAAATTTGCAAAAAGATGCATCTCTTTTCATCCCTGTCAAGAGGTTAAACAAGGCTGATTCAACTCGAATTTGAATCTTGAGGTCTGTGGCGGTATTTTATGAGTTGTTTTGGCCATGTACAACATTACCTTTAAATGTAAGAAAATCTGAAAATAGTACTTTACTAACATAGAAAAACTCCCAAAAATATCATAATGAACCATCAAGGAAGAAAGATGGTGTAGGATGGAGAAGATTACACGGATTACAGACGACGAACCTGAAAAATTTAGGCTAAGCTTTTCAAGATCCGCAAACAGTGAAGTAGCTCCTTTTAGTTTGCTCCAGATAGCCGGACGACTCACCCTTTCTCTCATCTTCCACCTCACTGAGTTCCGCTCACATTAACATTTCACTAAACTGCCAAGCTTTGATTGATACATTATTAACAGAAAACAAACGCACAGATCCCCCCCCCCGCATGAGCTCAAAATCAGTCATACGGTACGAAACTGTGTAGAAACTGCCACTGCAATGAATTCATCAGTTCACAATTTAGTGTTGTTGGGGCGCTGATGCCGATACTGGTGAAAAGTCCCTGCATATCAAGTTTAATACCCCTTCATCAGTATATAGTGGGAATAGCCGTTGAACTTTGCGTTAAACAGCTTGTACTTGTTGAACAATACTGTTTTCGTCAAAGAACTAATTTAAGTCTTTGAGGTGGCGTAAGAAATGTGAGGATCAAGTCACTGACAACTTTTAGAAACACTCCAACTCAGACTGGAATTTATGGCAGTTCAGTTCCACCCAATCCCATATTAATTTCTTTTTGCCTTGTGCTCAGGAGTGTTTCGTGTTAAAGATTTCTTTTAACTCTTAAAAAAAAAAAATTCAAAGATAATGCCTGTTTAACCATAAAGTCCGTTAGGAAAGTATTTACACTGATAGCGTGTCTTCAAATTATCTATAAATCGGAAAATTAGTTTTGACTGGATAACAATTCGATCACATGGAATTTTTTGGCACTTCCGTCTTTGAATGAAACAGCTAGATGTAGAAACCATTTCACATTGTTTAAAAATCTCTGATTTTCCAAATTGTTGATACTCTGAAATTTTCGTTTTTTTATTTTCCCGAATGCAAATCAATTTGATTTCCAACTTAAAATTTTCTAATTGTTTGAGATAAGATTAATGCTCTGTGTTCGTAATGTATTCATGTGTGCATACCGGTCCAATAGGAAAGGAAGTAGAAAAATATTACTATGATAATATACTCCAGATCGGAACAGAGGTGTCAGTGAGTCAGAGAGTGTGAACAAGACAATTTATGTTAAGATTATATTAAACTAATACTACGAATGTCATGTAAATTCATACTATTTCCTTTTTCCTTGCTTTACGTGGTTCCATCGAAATATTCTCCGTAAACTAAAAGAGGAGAAAATAAACAGTTTTTCAATACGATTAGGTTTTGATAAGAATTCTCTAAGGCTAAGATACGCGCATCTGTTAGGAAATAGATCTAAGTTCGCCATGTTTTCAATGTCTGGAAGACAGCTAGCGCTATTAGAACTTCAGTCGCTTGCAGTTTTACCATTTGTAAACCCCAGACAAAACTATCACTGATAAAAAATTTACCGACGTGTAATTTAGTTTCAGTGAGTGAAAAATTAAGAGGAGTGCATGCACGCTCTCTTCAGAGACTGCTTTCAAAGTTCCACACCTTGTAAAGTAGAAGGTTTTTTGACAAAAACTGCATTCCATTTAATAGGGGGCTCAGCGAAGTACTGTCCAAAGATAGTGAACGCAGAAAACCAGTAAACCTTTGTTGTTAATAGGCCGGAAAATCTTTCCCTTGGTTTGAAGCAACTAGAAAAAAATAAAACTTCAAGCAACAGAAACTATAGTTCCAGACAAATCTATTCTTGCAGGCTTCAAACATTTTAGCTAGTACTTTTTTTTTCTTTATACATAAATATTAAACATGTTACGTATATACCCACGCATTTCAGAATTAACAAACAAAACAGAATAAGAATATGACTGTTATCAGACACGTGAAATATGCATGAAATAGGCCTAAAACTGGATTTTTTTTAATGCACTTAGTAATGATTACAGCAGATAAGTCAACAAACAAATATAACGACTCATCTAAACTTACCTCATTTGAACAGTGGATGCCATTGCGTGACCACTCTCTCGGAGCCTCTCACGGCGTCATTCCAGTGATTCTCTTGTTGATGACTGCTTGACTGTTTGCCGAAGCAAACCTCTCCGATGTTTTCTCTTTTTCCTCGCCTCTCCGTCATGCGGTACAGAGTGAAAATCACTGCGATGCTGGCCAGCTTCTCATACGTCACGCGGAACATGAACATCTCATTAAATTCGGCATCGATGACATGTTTCTTGAGGGAGGTTCGACATACTCGTAAAACTTGGTTGTTATCGCCAATCAGCTTCATTTCGACGGCGATGTCTTGCGGCTTGGAGTTACTCAGAAGCCCGAGATTGCGGGTTTTGATAACTTCAGTGATCAATTTCCTCGTCAGCGCGCGGTACTCCAGAGAAAGTAGGATTTCCGGCTTGCTGTCTTCCGCGGGCGTTTGCCCGCTCTCACCCGTGACAGACGCGATGTAGCGGGAATCAATGGCGTAGGTTTCAGGAATGTTCAGATCAAGGGCGATTTTGACCGCTTGTGGACCAAGCTTGATCTCTCCTAGATTCACAACTCCCTGTCCAATCATATGTTTGGACATGGCGCGGTGATCGTACAAGCGAAATCGAAGAGACATCATTTTAATTTTTTCCTTTGGGGTCAAGATCATCGTGAAGGGATCTTTAAACTTCTTAGGGCGCGCGCGGAAGCTGTGTTGGTGAATTGGCAGAAGCATGCAACTCACTTCCAAATCATCCAATTTCCACTTTTGAAACGGCGGGAATTCGACGCCCAGGACGGTCAACGTCAACTTTGATGATTCAGGATCAAAGACGAACTGCATATTGATGCGTCCGCCCGTCCCGATATCCCGCGTCGTTCCCGAAGATGCGCCGTTCTCTTGCACAACTTGAATGCTCGCGGGTGCGTTGAAACTGGGATCTTCGTCGCTTCCCACAGTGGAAGGCGCTGCTGAAGCAGTGCTAGCTTCATCGTAGCTTGGTTTGTAATCATCGCTCGGTGACACGACAGGATCCGGAGGAGAAGGCTTGTATTCTAATTCCAAATCACCGCTTTTCCTTTCTACCTTTCCAGCGTCTTGCAAAGCTTCTTTCCCTTCCTCCACCGGAGCATCTTTCTGATCAGTACTAGCTGGCTCCCCATCAGGCTTTTTCTGTACTTTTGGCTTCGATTCTCCGGCAACACAACAACGGAGTATCGAGAAAATGGAGACAGACTTCTTCGATTCCTTCACCTCTTTCTTATTAGACATGACGGTTGTTCTTTCACTCAAGCGAAAAGTTCACTCACAAATCAAACTCACGGAGGAATGTCTTTGTTAATAAGCCTTCGGATGCCTTCTTCAGCGACTATGAAAACCGTCGTGAAGTCTTCGACGAGAATTTACAAATCTTCGATTGAAACTTTGTTCACAGACGCTTCTGAGAAACAAGAGTGTTTACGACCAGTGTTGCCAAATAAACAATTCACCAGCGTTTCGTATACGTAATAGCCTGATAAATTATATCGTGCGAAATCTCGAATATAAATTTGACTTGTTAATTAGTTTAACAATCTTTGCCGCTCTTTTCTTTCGGGAATATCTCTTTTGTTTCCGATCCAGTAGGGTCTAACTTTAAAGAACTGGCGCACAATATACTTAAAATGTGTTCGTCTCTCTCTAATGAATCTTTTCTTTGCTTTGCTTTTCTTTTATTCGATTTGTCATTCGCGTCTATTGTCCAATACCCAGGGCACAAGCATCAAGTATTTTGCAAAAGTCCAAGGCTATATTCGAATCTATCGTAATACAGTATTCTAAAAATACAGATTTATATATGTAGTATGCAACAAAATTTCATCGATGCAGGTTTAAACTGCACTTAAAAGGAAAAAAATTATTTCGGCAAGAATTTGCCCTTTCTTGTTATTTTACAAATTAAAAAGCAGCGTTGTGGAAAATTATTCCGAAATTGCGCGCTCAAACGTTAACGTTCAATTTAAATCTGCGTGGGAGTTAGCAGTGGTCATTTCAGAGTAATTTATTTTACAATTTATCAGTTGTTAGCCCGCAACTCAAAAATGAAAAATAATGAATCTGAACTGAATTAACGAAAACAGCGTGAAAACAAATAGTGCTGCACTTTTAATACTTGAACGTTGATCTTAAGTTATCTCGAGAATGCAAGTAGGCATGAATTTTTTTCACAAAGCGGGAACTCGAGGGAAAAACTGGACAAATATTTAATTAGCTCATTTTGTATAAACATAACTCGTATAGAATTCAAAACCCAAACGCTTTTAATTTGGTTTCTTTTAAGCAAACAAACTAAGATTCTGGCTACAATGAGAAACTAATTGTGAGTATTTTTTTACAGTAATACAAATGAGTCGCGTGCGTGATCGAGGGCGTTATTCGTGAACAATATTTATACGCGTAATGCGCGAAATTTGTTCAGCGCAATAACAGTTAAAAACAGTGAGATGGGTCGCACTAAACATAACATTTGCAAGACAGGTCACCATGAATGACATTTTTGTAGCTTTTATTATTTTGTAGCATCTATTCAGCGTGCGCACATTGCGTGCTGCTTATTGACTCGGTGTGGGCAGACTTCTTACTAGTTCCTTCCCAAAACGTCGAATGACTTCCTTCCTGTATGGCAGGATGGAAATAGGGAGACAACTGTACGAGAGTTTATTGACTCGCCATAAGGGGTAAAACTCACCGAGACATAACCGACATGCCCGAATAAACCGCACTGCAACGCTGCTAAAACTGTCGATAGCCTTGATCGCAACAGACCGAACAGAGCACAACTTTCTGAGTATTTCAATTATTACTCGACTGATAAACTAACGTGAAGATGTTCATTTTGAACAATCCCTGCTTTTAAAATGTTAAACAACAGACGACTTTTAAATGAAATAAACTTGTTAACAGCTGTTTCATTCGCAATGTTATCATCTCTTGGTTTCTAATCTCAAATTTGACCATCGTCGCAGTCGCCGATCGCGATCGTTTTTCAAAATGTCCCTCAGAAAATGTAATGTGCCACAGATTCTGAAGGACATAGTCACATAAGGTCTACATTGATGATGAGGCACGCAGACCAGAGTGCATACGCAACTGAAAAAAAACTATGACAACCGTTCAGCCATTTTAAAAATTGCATACATGACTGTTTGCAGTCTTCGACTTCTTTCCCTCCTCAGCAGTGCAGAAGGTTGTAAAAATAACCTGGATTGGAATAGATGACCGTTTTTAAATTGGTACTTGACAATGTCATGTAAGGTCAAAAAGCTACTTCGAACCACACTAACCATTAAACCGCTATCAACAAAAGCAAAATATGACTCAATATCAACTAACTCACGCTTTGCCTTAGGCTTTTGGGCTTGTTCCATGTACAGGGTCAAAATCCCTCTATAAGAGAACAGTGTATCTTGAATGTTTACCTGAGATTCTACCAAGGCGGAAAAATTGGCACCCTCCAGTCTGGGAAAAACGACCAAAAAACAAAATGAATTGATTAGTCACGAATGGTGTTTTTGAAGATCTTTCACACTTTATTTCTGTGAGCATGTTTTCGCCAATGACTTCGGGCTTGCTCCAATATGCATATAATACAATTACAAAATCGACTTGCTGAGGTGTACGGTTGACGTTCGAAATCGACTCAGCGTAACCACGGAATATGCGACAGACTGAACCAGCAATTCTGTCCTACTCTAATTTATCCTTTGGTTTGACTAAAAGTGGTCTCAATGTGTTAGTTAGTTTGAAATAGAGCGATGTAGCAGCTTTCGTGAGGTCTCACATAAATGGCTCGATACCCTTTCAAGGACCAATAGAACAAACAGCAGAAACAATGCCCCTAACCCAAGGGAGACTCTCATATAAAAACGAAGGTGGTTCTCGCCGTACCTTTTAGGGGTTCAAAACGTGATTTTGGTATCTCTTAGGGCATTCAACCTCAAAAGGTCCACAGCCGGAACTTTAGCGGTACCTTCTGGGGTTTTGAGCCGAAATGAACATATGACAGGAGATAATGTGTTGTTTTAGATTAAGTACCTCTTAGCGATGAAAACATTTCAAGCCACGCCCACAAAACAGGATCATGGTACCTCTTAGGGGTCCTTTTCAAAATTTCCGACGAACATCCCCATCCTTTATATACGGGAGTCCCTCACGGGGCCCCTACCCCTAAAAACATAACAGCTGCTACAATAATAAAACAACAGCAGCTTATGAGGATTGCTACATTTTTGTTGAAGTTAAATACACCATCACTATCCCATATTATCATTTAAACACTCTTCTAAAGTATTGTCCAATCTGATTAACCAATGATTTTTAAGCCTTTTCTGACGTGTTGTCTCCTCTCTGTCTTAAGTCACCTATAGAGCTCTAGGACATCTCAGCTCTGTTCAACAAGGCTCTCACAACACTTCAGCGAGGTGATTGTCAATCTGCGTAAGACACTCCACCCTTCTAGTGAGCTACCACTCCGCTTTTATGGTCCTAAAAAAGTCCATTAGGCGAACATGCCCCTCACACCCATCATGAGTTCCATAAAGACTATATGCTACGCATGCGCGCGCCACTATGCAGTAGTTCTGTCTTCTCCATAATTCAACACAGAGAAAGGGAACAAGAAACATCATTCCCACCCACCAATGAAGACAGCCAGCCCAGTAATGAAAAGCTCACCAAGTTTCCCTGTAGCCATAATCCTGACTCGTCCCCAGTTGTCTCCATATAACACGCGGTACGGTGCAAGGTGAGATAGTGGTGACAACGGGCAACTCATCTCAATTTGCGCTCCCCCCTCACCCCGTGCCGCGCGCGATATGAAGTTGTATGAAGACGACTGGGGACGAGTCAGGCTAAACCCTACAAAAAGGACTCTCAAAAGAATCCAGGAGAGTGAATCATAAAGGATATGGGCATATTCCAAACCAAAATTCATATCTTTCATTCGTTTATGTCTTACTTTCACACTTACACGACCTAAACGCTTGAATTACGTAAACGCATATTTCCGTAGATGCTACCTAAAGTGACCATATTTAAATTTGTGAACGGAGAACTGTCTCCGTATACGCATTTTGTGAGGCCAGCCCAGCTTAAACTTATTAACTAATAGGAATCTGGCGACAACTGATCCAGAAAGTTTTGAGAGACTGGTTTAGCACGTGTAGGAAACCAGGGTTTGCTATGACCGGCCAATGGATTCCAAAGGCAATTATAAACCAATCACAGCTCATGTTATTTGCCTAAATTATTTCAGTAATCCCAGTGCTAAAAGATCGTACTTCCGGTCAGTGCCCGAAGTTTCGGAAGTGGCGCCAGAATCCCATAACAATTTACCTATGTGTAGAAAGCGTGAAAATGTAAAACAAAGTTATCCATGATGTTTCCTTGCATATCGCTTTAAAAAATAATAATAAAAAATAAAAACCTCCCAACAATAACAAAAACTTCACACACTGTATTTTGCGTAGTCATGTATAGGATATAGGACCGTAATGCGTATATGTACCCGCATGAAGCAGAGCCCATTGTGTGAGTTAATGTACCCATAAAATTGGCTGGATATTAGCTAAGTTCCTATCCTCTTTGTGATGCAAAAGTGTTCTTTTCATTTCTCTAATATTTCATTTTGAGTCTCCCTTGCCATTTGTTTAATTGTTTATAGACCTTTAAAGAAATACACAATTTGGCGGTAAAGACCAGAACGGGTGGAAAGGATTTCTAGAGTATTCCCAAGTAACGAACTGATATGGCCAGCAGTCAACGCTGGCTACATTCTCGTTCACTTACAGACCGTCAGAGATTTTAACAAAGGGAATTTAAAGCGGAAGCAAAATTCTGGCCGGGAGCGGCTTTCATATCAGTTCCGTCATGGAGGACTTCACTGAAAAGTCTACTGAAGGTCTGCAGTCGCTCTAATCGAACAGTGTTAGGTAAAGACCAACCAGTTCACGTTTTCGGGAAGAACACCAGCACTGAATTAGTGGGAATCTTAGCCTAAGGATCGAGCCAATAACATCGTATGTTTCTAGAGCCATCTTTTCCTCGTGTCTCAGGCTAAAAGGCACAGATGGCTCCGGGGAAGAGAGTGGGTTGGTTGTTATTAAAGAGCTTAGCTTTAATTACGCGGTGTGATGACATGGAAACATGAAAAACAAATAAAAAATCTCAAGACACTCAAAACACTCAAAACTCTAGCATACTCAAGAATTAACTGCTGAACATCAATTTGATGTGGCATGTTAACTTAATTGGCTCTTTATTGCAGTTAATTTGCTAAAAACTCTTTTTTATTTACTATCACTAAAGTCGGCATGCAAATACAATTTGTCATCAAGAACTCCTGTTTTTAGATTGTCTTTTTGTATGGTCTTAGGCTTTTTACAGCGGTATACCAGCAGGTTTTTTTATATAATGATCCATCTGACTGACAGAACTAATAAATATTGTTAAATATTGTTCAAGTAATAAATAATGACGCTTATATTGCCCGCATCAAAACTTGGAATGTGCTGATGACATCAAACACATCATGAGCAGCCTACAAATATACAGGCCGCAAACTATTCCAGAACTAAACATTTTCATCGCTAGATTGCTTTAAAAGCGACCTAATGGGCATGACCTTTGCCATTTGTTCATTGGCTAAGAATCTGTCATACAGTTTGTTCCGTTTATTTGTTCTCTATGATTTGATGCATCAAAAACAAACATTTTTGCGCTTATTTATGCAAGTCCTTTGATACAATATCAATATGGTGTAACGGACTGTTTCCTAACCAAGCGATGTTTTATGCTTGTAGGAAATGGTCATAAATGTCGTGGGTTTTCTGACCTCCTACCTAATGTGTTTATACACCGCTGGTATGTACGCGCTGCAGACCTATCTTTATACGTAGGTTTTGCTGACGGGTTCCGGAGCTGGGCTTGAGCTCGTCATTTGATTGGTTCCCGATCTCGGGCGTTCTTCGTCATTTCCCGCGCTGATCTGAACCGTGCGCACCATACAACAACACCAGCAAGAACCAGACAAGCACTTCTTGGGCGGTTTAACGGGAGACACGGCGTATAGCACGGTCAAGGCGAGCGCGAACTCCGTCAAACGAAACAAAGTCTCGTGAATAAACCAAGGCCATGGCTCCACGATCTTTTCAACCACAAAATGATACTCTATGACTTCTACTAAATCGTATATTTTTAACGCGAATAGTGCGATACAGAAGAATATTGTTAGTGCGGTAATGATGAACACTTTCCGCACAGCTTTTGTGTTGAAGGACGCGCGCTGGCGTCGGCGCGGAGTGTAAGTGGACGAAGCCGCGTAATTTTCCATGGCCCTCTTGTGCTTGTTGTTTTCGCGAAAAACCCTGCAACCACTGCGAGTGATTCGAACACCCGTGAAGAGAGTCATGGAGAGCAAATAAGCGGTGCAAACCATGTACAACGCAGACGTGCTTTCAACTAAGGCTGTGACTACGTCTGCGATGATAACGACGCTAAAGTGTCCGACGATTACCAGAACTAGGAAACGTATTTTTCGCAGCTTAGAGTACGTCAGAGGCGTGGTCTTAACGCTTGCCGTGAAAGTAATCTGGATCAGAGCAAACGCCGCCATGAAACAGGGAAAGCCCAGACCAAAAATAATTCGATGAACGTACAGAGGAATGACTATATCGGCCTTGTTGACGTTTGTTGTTATCTCATACGGAAAAAGGACGAGCGCTAGGGCTCGAGTGATTCCCAGGACTATAACTAATGAATGTACAGCATAAGATACATTTCGAGACACCTTTTCTCTCTGTCGCCGCCTTTTGGAAGCTTCGAAAAGCCGTATAGTGGAATATAAAGCGATTCCCAGGAATAGCACCACGAATGATATCCAATGAAGTTCCCATGCCCATTTGAAAATCTCTTTCGCTTCTTGCCAGTTGGGCACAGGTTCCGAGTTCAGAGGCTCTCTTTTCCTTCCATACCCAGCTGGGTTAATGTCGCTCATATTTCCCGTTGTATTATTCACCATCATATCAAAATTGTTTCTCCAAGGAGCGGTGCTTTCAATGCAAGTTATTTACACGAAGCCACATAATGTGGAAACAGCCCACTAGAGACAAAACAAAGTAGAACTCAATGAATAATTTTACCAAGAAGCTAATGTAACTCACAATGCTGTTTATGTACTAGTTAGCTACCGGTAATTTCTCCTAACTGCGATGCACTTGAATTGGCTGAAACGAAGACACTAGTTATAATGGAGGCGAAATATTTCTCGATTATGCGGTGGAAAAGCCTTTTGGTAGAAGAGATAAACTCTTTCGCGTAGACGCCGTTAAATGTGCAAACTAGGTCTGTATTAAGTCTTTATCAGTTAAAAACGGAATGGCAAATTGAGAGCCATTATTTAAAGACCGAGGAAGTACTCGGCGAGGATGGTTCAGATAAGAACGAAAAAAACAAAAAGAAACATCGTACCTCAAAATCAGCAACACTGGAAACTTCCAAGCTCCAGGCAGGACCACTTCTGAGATTGATTTTACTTGGTTGGTTTAAGTCTTTTGGTTTATATCTCTGGATATGACGTCCAAAGGGACTTGAAAACTCGTGAGCTGCTGAAAAATATTGCCGCTTTACCATAGGAAAATAACTCATTTAACCATCGGTAATTTTCTCATGACCTAATATCCAGGAATATTGGCCTAGCACTGTTTGCGTCGACGAAGGTTTGAAGTGTGCTAACAATAAGCACAAATTATCTCCTAATTACTCAGCCTTAATGCTTTTGAAGAGCGCTGGAGGAAGAGATAGCATCGAGAGAAATTTCGAGCACCTGATTAGAAAACAGTAGTCAACAAAGGTTTTAAAATGTAGTATTTGGAATTACCGACGAAGTCACGCGATGCAGATTTGTGGGTAACAACACTGCTTAGACAAAATATTGTGTTTATTAATATTTTATTACTTCCCTTCGGTTCCTGTGAAATAATTGCTCTGTTTACACCTTGTTTACACGCTTTGTTGCCTTGGTGGTGGTGATAGCAGAAAAGAGGTGGACGGGGGAGGGAGGGGGGAATAACTTGTCAATTACTGACACAGTCTTGACGGGTTGTAATCTTGGGCGCTTATCATTTGTCAGAATGAACTTGTTGGGATGACAGATGAATAAAGGTCAGGGTTTTTCTAAAATCAGCAAACCAACAGAACGAGATGGCGCTTACCATTTGCATTTCGATTTCTCGTAATTGTTTTCGGCTGATAAGAGACTGGAAACTGGAAAATTTACCAAATGGTAAGGAAATTTCCGTCGTTCTGTTCCGTACGGAAAAAGAGGACTACCTCTGGCTACAATTTCCGAACGGATTTCTGTTCCTTTTGACTTTCAACCGAAATTTCCGGATTTTTTTGCTAAATGGTAAGCACCCTTTGTTCCCATTTCTCCCATTTCTCGTTCTTGTGAGCCCACGAAAGATTTCGGAACGAGGTTAGACGGGTTGTATATACAAAAGATGAGATTACAGAATGTTGGGGATCGTAGGTTTTAGAGACAAGGTCAGACGCATACGGACAGAAGTTTTGGATTCGGAAGAACTATTAGTGTAAACCGTTCAGGCGCAGCTGCTTTGAAAATGACGATTTGATATGTGGCCTCTTCAACCAAACACGCCACCCTTCCCCCTCCTCCCCCGGCCTTTTGCCACCTCCTTTGGGGGGAGGGGGCGCGCGGACAGGGCGGAAAACGGCGGGAGGAAAAATGTGAGAGGGGCGTGAGAAAGATCCCAGCTTGAAACCCACCGCCTCCTTCTCCTCCTCCTCCTCCTCCTCCTCTTCCTCCTCT